TATATATATATATATATATATATATATATTACAGTAGATCTACATATACAATATACATACAATATATATACAAATATATATATGATATATATATATAATACATATACTATATACAATATATATAGTATATATTTTATATATAATATAAAATAAAACAAATTATATATATTATATATACGGTGGATGTCAACCTGCATCCTCGTTGCTGTACACTGAATTAACACAATTCGGCCTTTCGGGTATTCAGAGGCCTGGCAGTGGGGGGCCCCAAGGGGCCCCCGGGGGCCCCCATGATACCCCCTCTCTATGCGGGGGGCCCCCATTATGTATTCCCTTTGCGTGCTGGGGGCCCCCATCATATATTCCCTTTGTCTGCGGGGGGCCCCCAGGGGGCCCCTAGCTGGGTGCCCGTCTGCGCTATGCTGCCGCAGCGACGCGACGCTGCGGCGTTTGTGGTTTTTACTGTATTTATATTAACTTATTTTTCTATACGGTTAATATATAAACAGTGAAAAACATAAAAAAATAAAATAATATACAGACGAAGAGAGAAAAGCAAAAAAATATTGCAGACAGGCACGGGTCCTCCGGGTGTATCTACACGCACGGCGAACTGTTGCTGCTGCTGCTGCTGTTACTGCTGCCGTTGCTGATGCTGCTGCTGCTGCTGCTGCTGCTGCCTCTACAGCTCAGCAAGAGCCAACGCCACAGCAGCAGGCTCAACAGCAGCAGCAGCAGGAGCAGCAGCAGCAGCAGCAACACTAAGGCGACGGGCGACTCCGCTGCAGCCCGAGAGGGCGGCAGAGGCCCAGCGTCTTGAGGGGTTTTCTTGCTGCTGTTGCTGCAGCAGCAGCAGCAGCAGCAGCAGCAGCAGCAGGAGGAGGAGGTTTTGTTTGTGTAGTGTCGTTACTAACCTTACTGGCGGCTCGGAATTCAGCGAACAGCGCATGGTGTTTCTTGCTGCTGTTGCTGTTGCTGTAGCTGCTGCTGCTGCTGCTGC